TWMMAAWTAGGCCTTTAGGGTTAGAACGAAAGGCATTCAATTTCATTCTAACCCTTCCCTCCTCTCAGTCCTCATACCCCGACTCATGACTTGCGGCAGCCACGACTGATGGTGATTCACGGTGACCGGCGACGGCAAAGAACTTCACCTACGGCGGTTTGCATTTTATAACCAGCAACAACCTCTATTTATCAATGATGAAGTGCATTTTGGCAGCTCCCGGCTGGCTAGTGACTCAGATGTCTAGCTGAATAATCCCTACCTGGAAGGTGGCTTGCATGCCTAGCTGAATGGTTCCTACCTAGAAGGTGACTTGGATGCCTACTTAAAAGGTTCCTACCTGGAAGTTGGTTTGGACGCCTAGCTGAATGGTAACGAGCTGGAGAGGTGGTTCTGATGCCTAGCTGAACGGTGACGAGCTGGAGAGGTGGCTCTGATGCCTAACTGAACGGTGACGAGCTGGAGAGGTGGCTTTGATGTCTAGATGAATGGTGACGAGCTGGAGAGGTGGCTCTGATGCCTAGTTTAATGGTGACGAGTTGGAGAGGTGGCTTTGATGTGACCTGCAAGGAAACAGTGTCAGAGTGCTCGGGTTGCTTTACCCGGGGTGGGCACTCCGATGCTTAAGTTAGAGAATCAGAGATTTTAAAATAGCTAAATGTGAGAGAGCTGGAGAGCTGCCAGAACTAAAAATTGTGTCCCCCTGGAGTTGGAGGTAAGGCCTTTATATAGGCATTGTTTGGCGTGAGCATCACGCAACATGTCCGGGATCTCCGGGAGGATGTGCCTAACTACCTTCGAGGTCCTCGGAGGTAGCCGTGCACGTAAGCCAATCTTTGCGCCTTACTCGGTTTCTCCCAAAACATTCGGTGTGAGAGCTGACCTCCGAGAGACTTGGGAGTGATGGGATGCATGCAGAAATCGACGGCGAGCATGTCTCGTAGGTCGCCACCTGGACCTCAATCAGGTCAGCAAGCCCTCGAGGGTTGTCGCTTCAGCCGATATTGATGAGGTACCATAGGTCAGCCCTGGACGAGCTGCTGCTAGCCGCCATGAGTCGTGGAAGAGGTCGCTGGCTAGGTTTCTACTAAGTCGGCGGTGAAGGCAGGTCGCCAAGTCGGCGCTAGGGGCCGGTCGCCAGGTCAGTGTTAGAGGCAGGTTGCCAGATTGGCGCTAGAGGCAGGNNNGGGTTAGAACGAAAGGCATTCAATTTCATTCTAACCCTTCCCTCCTCTCAGTCCTCATACCCCGACTCATGACTTGCGGCAGCCACGACTGATGGCGATTCACGGTGACTGGCGACGACGGAGAACTTCACCTACGGCGGTTTGCATTTTATAACCAGCAACAACCTCTATTTATCAATGATGAAGTGCATTTTGGCAGTTCCCGGCTGGCTAGTGACTCAAATGTCTAGCTGAATAATCCCTACCTGGAAGGTGGCTTGCATGCCTAGCTGAATGGTTCCTACCTAGAAGGTGACTTGGACGCTTACCTGAAAGGTTCCTACTTGGAAGTTGGCTTGGACGCCTAGCTGAATGGTAACGAGCTGGAGAGGTGGTTCTGATGCCTAGCTGAATGGTGACGAGCTGGAGAGGTGGCTCTAATGCCTAGATGAATGGTGACGAGCTGGAAAGGTGGTTCTGATGCCTAGTTTAATGGTGACGAGTTGGAGAGGTGGCTTTGATGTGACCTGCAAGGAAACAGTGTCAGAGTGCTCAGGTTGCTTTACCTGGGGTGGGCACTCCGATGCTTAAGTTAGAGAATCAGAGATTTTAAAATAGCTAAATGTGAGAGAGTTGGAGAACTGCCAGAACTAAAAATTGTGGCCCCCTGGAGTTGGAGGTAAGGCCTTTATATAGGCATTGTTTGGCGTGAGCATCACGCAACACGTCCGAGATCTCCGGGAGGACGTGCCTAACTACCTTCGAGGTCCTCAGAGGTAGCCGTGCACGTAAGCCAATCTTTGCGCCTTACTCGGTTTCTTCCAAAACATTCGGTGTGAGAGCTGATCTCCGAGAGACCTGGGAGTGATGGGATGCATGCAGAAATCGACAACGAGCACGTCTCGTAGGTCACCACCTGGACCTCAATCAGGTCGGCAAGCCCTCGAGGGTGGTCGCTTCAGCCAATATTGACGAGGTACCATAGGTCAGCCTTGGACGAGCTGCTGCTAGCCACCATGAGTCGTGGAAGAGGTCGCTGGCTAGGTTTCTACTAAGTCGGCGGTGGAGGCAGGCCGCCAGGTCGCCAGGTCGGCGCTAGAGGCAGGTCGCCAGGTCAGTGTTAGAGGCAGGTTGCCAGATTGGCGCTAGAGGCAGGTCGCCAGGTCAGTGCTAGAGGCAGGTTGCCAGGTCGGCACTAGAGGCAGGTCACCAAGTCACGCTATTTCAATAATTTCAAACCAAAACCGAACCAACTGGTTCAGTTAATCACATTTTGCAGTTTGATTCAGTTTTTCGGTTTTCATGGACACCCTTTTTGTAAATCGAACATGTGGTATTGGTTTTTTCATTTTGTTAAATCAAAATCGAACCGGTATCACTAGTTAATCGGTTCGTTGGTTTCGGTTTTTGATCGGTTCGGTTCTTCGGTTTTTTAATTTTTTGGTTTTTATATTTATAATATATATTATATAAATATATGTATAATATTATATTATAAATAATATATAATATATAATAGATTATAAATATTTTAAAAATATATAATATATTTGTAAATAGATCATTATAAATATAATATAAGTATATATTTCTATATAATGAATATATATTTATATAAAATATATAAGAAATATGTGACATATATTAAAAATATATATATAAAATATACATATAAATATATATACCGGTTGATTCGGTTAACCGTCGGTTTTTTTATAGGTTAACCGAAAATCGAACCGATCCTTCGGTTTTTCAAAAATTTCAAACCAAAACCGAACCAACTGGTTCGGTTAATCACATTTTGCAGTTCGATTCAGTTTTTTGGTTTTTCGGTTTTTCATGGACACCCCTAGCAAGCGCCAACCTCGCTTTCTTGGGTTGCAGTTGCACAGAGAAGCCTCTCGGCCCTCGCTCGACGTTCTGACTTGTGTGGGAGTCATGTCCAGTCCAACACGGCGCACGAAATGCAATTTGGTGCGTCTTGGTACAACAGCCAACAGGGGAGGAAGGACACAGAGCACTAGCTATATTTGTCTGGTCTGGGGGCTGGGGGCTGGGGGCAGTGCTAGTGCGACCCCATAAATGATAAATCTTCCGATAAGATTGCTCGGGCGATTTTAGGGAGAGAGCAGGAGACATTCCATATCCCATCCCATTGAATTTAATGGCCCACTTCTGGTTGGGCTTGGGCTTGGGCTTGGTTTCCGTATCTCGGATACTGAACTTGTGGCACAGTTGACATCAATGATGACAAGGGGGGAATCCATGTTTAATGTTAAATGGGGCCTCCGCCTCCCCTCAGCTCCCGGATGCAGTCGTGCACACCAGTCAGTCAGTGATGATGAGTTCGGAATCTGCTGACTCCATACTCACTCCCATGATGCTCCTGAGTCCTGATTGATTGATGTGTTAAACTGTTCACTACTTTAAGTAGTAGTGGCCGGTCATTTGCTTTACTTTCAATTTCAACAGTAGGTAGCTATTCCAAACCTTTCAATGAGTTTCAACTATATTCCTTGGTTCCTTGTTTAGGAAACATATCATATACGGTCTTAGGTCCACATGGTCCAGATAAGAAGGTCAATGTGTGGATGCTTGCTTACTTTGGCTGAGCGCAAAGCTACTTACTTTTTTCTGGCAATATGTCTATCTTTGGCCTAGTTAAACTTAAGTAGGCACTTGTCATCGGCAGCTTGACCCACTTAAACACCACTGCAAAGAATATGCTCTCTTCAACCAGATGGGATGAGCTGGAGACAAAATCTTGCACATTGGGTTAGGCTACTTATCACGAGTGAACATGTTAGTGTTCACTGTGGGCCTCATTTGAGCCCATCTATACTGAACACTGCACTGACTGCAGCATAGTATACATGAATTGAACTGAGTCCGGATCCATCTGCTCTTCACACTGACCTCACAACATGTACTAGTTGTACATCGAGAACATCTCCCATACTTGTATGCTATTATTCATGGGAGATGTTCCAATACATGATTAGATGTGGCTGTAAGATCAGTGTGAGAGATGCACTCTGTAAGGTGGAGCAGATCCCAATTCGAGTTTGTCTCCAACAGATATCTAACAACATTAGAGTAGTCTCTTTCGAAAATAAAGTTTAATGGACCCAACTCCAGGCCACCTCCAAACCTGAAAGAATGCTACCCCAACTAGGCCCATTTATCTAATATTTCCTCTTGGAAGCTATCTTCCTAGGTCCATGTCACTTCAGAGTTGGGATCTCCTACCAACAAAACATGTTCCAACCCCCTACTAACTTCATCTAAGACTGCACATTTCACCATGAAACTGGGACCTACCATAAAAATGGGATCCAACATGAATGAGATGTGCGATGTCAGGTCATGTTGGTAGGGGGTTGGAACGTGTTTTGTTGGTAGGAGATATGGACTCGTTGCTTCAAGTCCATACACATGAACCACACCTATCAAGTATATTTCTAAAATCTCTGACGATTTCCTTTCTTCTCTTTTCCACAATTCACACAGTTAAAATCACCAATGAAACATACAATAATCATTCGGAATTTCCTATTCACTTTTCTTACCCACTCCCTACCCGCCGTGAATTAGAGCCACACATTTCTATTATGAATTAAGAGATGTGTGGCTGCAATTAAGGAATGAGCAAGAAAAGTGAGTAGGAAATCTGATCTCTACAATAGCTAAAGAATTCCAATTAGTGAGATCATATAAATTGTCCCAAAGTTGACGCCTTCCTGCTTGATTATTGGGACCATATAAGACTAACGGATCTATCCTACTTTTTTTTCCTGATTTGGATACAAAATATTTCTCAGGCCATAATAAACATTTTAATTTCATTGTTAACACCTTATTGTTTGAAAGGAACATAGCTTCTGGAATCTGGATGAATATGAATGCAATTAATTTATTTTTCTTTGACTATATATACCCCAACTTAATGCTGATTTTTCCAAGTTAATATTTTGACTAGCTAGGTTAAATGAAACTATACCACAAGTTCCTTTTGTTTACTTGAGCCAGTCAAAATTTTCACATATAAATTAATGGTCGGATTTTATTACAATATATTATAAGAGTAAGGCTGTAAATTTTGCAGTATTTTATTTTATACAAGGGAAGAAAATCATAATGAAAAGGAGCTCAACCCCAGTAATCTGTAGTGCATATATAATTCAGTTTTATGTCCAACTGAATTAATTAATTAACTGCTAATTCTACATCAAAAATATTGAAATAACACTGAGGCTTCTCCAAACAACAACCCCCACTCTTTAGACACGTAGCATTGTAAAATTTTAATAGATAGAAGCTTAGAAGAGATTAAATTCTCATTCTTAAAAAAGTCTAGTCACTCACAAAAAAGTGATAACTCCACTCTCTTAAAATTCACACACGTAGTATTTAAAGTTCAAAGTATTCGCCGATATGTATCATACTGATGGCTTCCCAATACGCCCCTCCAGGGGTTGTATCGGGTCAAACCATGGTTCATAGGGTAGTCGAGCCTTAAACTGACCTCTCTGAACCAGTTTTGAAAAGAAAATAAATAAAACTTAAAAATAAAAGTACTGATATAGACCGATATGCCCTACTGGCTTATTAGCCTGTATACTTTGAAGCTTGGTAGCATCCTAATCCCTAAAAAGTGGTCATTCCAAATGTTATGGTAATAACTGAATTTTATTCAAACACAACCATTTCAAAAGTAACGATTAAGCAAATAATTTAACTTAAAAATATTCAAAATATTAAATGGATAAAAATAAAAATAAATGAAATTCATAAAAATGACTAATCAGTTTATACAAATGGGGTAGTTACATTCTTTTAGATGAAATAGTTTATTAATTGCAAACTAGATTTAACTTTTTTTGGAAATATAACCGAATTTGACTTTTGAAAATAAATCTATCAAATAAATAGTAAATACCAATTAAAGTGGGTTACTGCTTACAAATAAGACCTCATTTAATCTCTTTAGTCATATTAAAACAACATAAATTAATAGTGATTTTCAAACAAAGTAGGTCAGAATAGATTGTCAATTACAAAGATGTAAGACACATTAATTTTTTATAGTTAAATAATAAATTTCAAATTAAATGATACTGTAGTTGCCCCTTAGTGTGACGTCATTCTCTAGATAAAACATAGTTAGTCTCTTAAATCAAATATAAATCCTAACCTAAATGTCTAATATAAATAATTTAAAAATTAAAATAATTCAGAATTTCAGATTAATGGTCCCGTACATAATACAGGGGTCATTCCTAGTAAACATAAAATATAAACCCAATCAAATGATCAACCATTAAGGCCTCATATTGTTTTGGTTGATCTCTTATTACAAAGTCCCAAATATAGTTACATACAGGTATAATCATGAATTAAAATACAAATAAATGAGTCTTTATTCTTCTTCTTCTTCTTCTTCTTTCTTATAAGTGAATGATTGATACATATAAAGATGCTTGGGTAAACAACTCAAAGATTTTAAGATGATGAAGTAATTAACTTTTGACGGAAAGTTTGAAGATGATGAAGTAGTTTTTCTCTTGGAGGTAGGAGCTCTTTCACTAAAGGAACATCCAGAAAATTTTTGAACCACTCTTTCAGAGAAGGCAGTGAATCCTCTCCAACCAATATTATTCCGGTAATCTCTTCCAAAAGAGGAACCCAGTAAGCCATCCAACCAAAAACAATATCCAAGAAACCAATTGCATCGCCTCCGAAGAACTTGCTTTCTCTGGGTATTTTTTCTAGGGTTTTCAGGCTCTCTATGGCTTCACTTTTAGCATTTTCTTGTTCTTGCCCTGTCTTTGTAAAAACTCCATGGATTGTTGTCCAACACTAAGAAGAAGTGCAAAAATTGTATTATTAGAGCAATTGGCTGAAATTTTCTAAAAGAAAAATCTTCCACAGACTTAACATAATATCAGACTTATCAATTTAATGATGCATGTAATGAAACAAATATCACAAAAAAAATAGTAATTAATAAATTAATTATTTAAATTTCAGATAAAATGTTAATTATATTTGAGGACAAGGCTAAGCCAACCTATTTTTCTAAATACTCTTGTAGTAAGTATTATTAGAGGTAAGAATCTTTTGCATTGATGGAAATTTCATGAAAGTATATTATTTTACTCCAAAAATTGTAGCTAAAAGTGTTCCCCTTAACGTCAATATATGGATTTCTCTGTATTTTTTACTAGGAATATAATGAAATGTTTCTATATAGTAAAAATAATAAATAAACTTATAATTCATATGTTGAAGACAGTTGAAGAATGTAAGAACACATGTTAACAGATAATTTTGAAAATAATCCACTCCCACAAGCCCATAACAATCACTATAAATGATAATTTTACTGAATCGGACATTTAACTACTGAATACATCTAGAGAAATTGATTGATTAAAAACTCTCTTAGTGAATCAAAATAAAGTAGTTGGTCTGTTTATTGGTAAGTGTGTGCAATGTGCTCGATGAAATGACTTCTTACCTTATCATCGGCAAATTTAGCCCAGAAACGAGCCATTGCTCTTTCGTAAGGATCTTCAGGCAATATACGACTGTGACTCCATGTTTCGTCGATGTATTCGAGTATGACGAGGGATTCTGCGATGGGTTTTCCGGCATGCACAAGCACCGGAACCTTCTTGTGGACAGGGTTACAGGTGAGAAGGCGTTGGCTCTTGTTATCCAGATCTTCATCAATGTATTCGTAGTGGATACCTTTGATTTTCAAGGCCCATTCAATTCTAAGAGACAATGGGCTAGCCCACATCCCTAGCAACGTTACTTGGTCTGTAGCCATTTTTGCTGTTTATTAATAATTTTGTGGCCAACACGGCCAACATATATATATAGCGATAGTTGTGGTCTGAACTGAAATTTCTAATGGATTTATCAACTTTCTCACAATTTCATGGAAATCACTCATGGCTTCTTTATTAGACTTTTGTTATTGAAAGTGACCATGAATTCCGCATCATGTCGACATATCAAAAGGAAATTATCGTATTACAAATGACAGTGATTTCTGTATGTCGACATACTTTCTAGAGAGTGGACTTGGTCCTAACAAGTCATTACATTCATACATTGCAAACATTTTTCTTGTCTTTCATGGTTCCTGATGTACAGTTTCAATGGCTTTATTTGGATAGCTTGTTGATATCGTTTGTTGGGATCAGATCCAGTCGTCCCCTTTATAGAGGATAAGATTTCCTTGAATTGGGATCTCCTGCCAATAAAACACATTCCAACAGCCTACTAACATGATCTGACACTTCATAATATGTTGTTGTTTATTGGATTGGGATTGGACCATACAATCCAATGCTAAGTACGCAGTAAGAAGTCATCAGTATTAATTCTCGATTAATTGAATGAGTTATTAAGATCTTCTATCAACCAAATATATTCTAACCCTCTATCAACTTGATCTAACACCGCACGTCTCACTATGAAGTTGGAATCCACTATAAAAATGGAACCTGCCATATTGATAGAGGGTTGAAACGTGTTTTATTAGTAGGTGATCCGAACTCTGATTGAACGTGGTGGCAAAATGTCTTTGCTCTCCTTTTGGGCCCACGGTGGAATAATCTAACTAATTAAGCTAGCAATTGATAGAACACATGAATCATTACCATTGATTTTCTTAGATGGCTTCCACTGAGACTAATATCTTATTTACATTATTTTATTAATTATTTAAGTGGATCCTAATTCCTACGAGTATAAAAAGCCAAATGAAATGTTCTGTACAGAAAATACATTACTGTTGGCATATATAAATTTGGATTGATTGATCTAATATCCATTTTATTGCAAAAAACCGTAGGAAATTCATCTTAGTATAATAAAATAGTATTATGCTGTTGGTGGCATTCTTGTTGTGACATTTGAGACAGGACTGTATTGAGTTTTTTTTTTGGTCAGCCAACTGTATTTAGTTAAAGATTGCAACTTTTTTTAATAATATTAATTGTATGATTTTTTTTCTATAGATCACGAGTTGAGTTTTTTATAAATTATTTGAGTTCGGTTTGTGAAAAGCTCAATTCAGTTTGGTCTAAATTAAGCTTTGAGTGAATATATAAGCTCATTTGCTAATTGAGTCGAACTCGAACCTAATAAAACTCAGCTTGTGAGGCTGGTGAGTCTTATATCACTAAAAGAAAGTGAGGCTTTAAAGGTGTTTTTCTTAATGGCATTTATATAATCTTCACTATATATTATCTTTAATGGCGTTTATTAAAAATGCCACTATATCCATATAAAAAATGCCATTACATACATTTTAAGTGGCAATTATTAAAATGCCGTTAAAAATATATTTAAATTGCCTCTAAATATATGATTTTTATGTGGCATTTATTAAATCGCCGTTTAAATCACGTTTAAAAGCCATTATATCAGCAATTTATTTTTATCCATTGATTTCACTTCAACATCAGTGGTTTAGAATTAACTTCAATGGAGAAATTATGCAACAAAAGCTGGCGCGTGGATACCAATTTCTTCCCACACCCATTCTCCTCTTTGGCAATGCACGTCTCCTGTTAGTCTACCAAGAACCATTCACTGGAAGCGACCATGATAGAACCCTAATTTCTTTGCTTAAAACTATTGTGTTCTCCCCTCCATCAAATCTCGGCATTTTTTAGAATATTTTTATTTGTTTTTGATCTCTTGCAAGCTAGATACGTTGAGTTTGACTGTCATATCTTCTACAATGGATGAGCCATTAGTCCTCACATGCTTGGAGCTGGTAAGTTTAATTTCGATTCATGTATTCCTTCTTATCTTCTCAGGAGAACCATTAAATGCCGACTATTCTTTTTTCAAATCTATGATTGTTCTCTATTTTTGTTTCTTTGTAGGTTGTATTGATTTATTTTGATTGTTGTGAGTTAAGCTTGATTCGGTACTTCTCTGTATGGTTGTTGTTCATTTTTATAGAAAATTGTTAGTTTGGATTTGTGGGGTTTGTTTAAGATATTACAAGTCTTTTTTCCTTTTGATTTATTTTAGCAATTATGGGAGTGCATGGTTGAAGTCGTTGGATTAGGTCATATTTCAGACATTTTTTTTTAAGTTAAATCTTGGTATTGTATTGATTGTTAGCAGTGTTATACCCCATCAGAGCTTTTGTTGGATTTTAATCTCATAAGAGATTAAATCCAATGGGTTTGATTGGTCAGTTACATGAGAAATTGCACCTATACACTTGATTGAAAAATTAGCTTTTCTCTTACAAAACCCATTTTTGAACTTGTCCCACATTAGAAAATTATAAGCTTTGTTTTTAATATTTTAATAGGAGCTGATTTACACTCTTTAGAAATAGTAGAGGAGAGTATGGTGGTTTGAGTTCGTACAACACGTGTGCACGTGTGTGCGGCGCAATGAGGCGCTTTAGAGGTGCACTTTGCTCGTACTGCGTGACCCACGAAGGGCGGCTTTAGTTTTGGTGCGATGCTGGCTGTTGATCACCGTTGATCAGATCAACGGTCACGATTCGATCGGGTGCGATCAAGAGACTCAATTCAAAACACACAATTTCGAAATTCACTTTCTCTCTCTCTCTCTTTCAGTCTGGTCTGATATAGTCTCACAGAAGGTTTCTTCGATTCTTCAACTTTACTGGTTGCAGATTCTCGCACAAGGCTCTATTATATCACGATTATTGAAAGAACAAACATATGACAGGAGAAAACCATTCCTCCAAATATGACATCTAGAATCTCTCGGGGATTAGAAAAGGAAAAAGAATACATGATGGAGTGTGTGTGTGTGTTCGGAAATGGTTTTGGGCTTGTTTGTCTATTCTTTATTATAGTTTGTTTCGTGCTATTTACTGGGCCTGTTTTTCTTTTATTAGTGGGCTGGAAAGACATGCCTTTGATAAATAACCAAAGTATTGGCTACCAATTCTATGATACCGGTTGATTGGTTGCAAGTTTTCCAGCATCTTGTGTTTCCAATATCATAGTTTAACTCTTGTTCTTTTTGATATGCTTCCTAAACAGGGGAATCTATGTAATCTTCCCCTTCTTTATTATCAATTAATCAAAAGAGATCGTGGGACTAACTTAAAACCCATAACCTATTCTCTCTCGTCTTCTCTTTTCTTCTATTCTAAAACTCTTTTGTAAGTATATATGGTTATTTATTGCTGAAATCTAGAAAACCTACTTGATATCTGTTGGTATTCATTGAATTGAACATGCAGAAATCTGCATCAGTTACCTTTTTCTTAATATTATATTCATCAGCTTCCTTTATCTAAAACCATTCAAATAACAGATAACCATCCAATTGAGCTTCTACTTCTACTGTTGAGAAGGTCTGAACATGATCCATGTAGTCATAAACCCCGCTAGCCTCCTCCTCTGCATTAGGAATTTAGCATTTATAGGTTGTATGTGATATATCAGATTATATATACTAACCTAGGAACATTGAAACAAAATTTATTGTATTTGTATCTCTCAAAGTTCTGGTCTCTCTCAAAGTTCTGGTCTATGGCTCTACAACATGCATAACCTGAAACAAAACAGAGAAGCATGCAATAGCCATGCTGAAATCAATGAACAAGGCTTGGTGAATCTGTTTTAGCTAGATTCGTTTATTTGAACTTTTATAGATCTACAAAGATTAAACCTTCTACTCCCACAAGATTTACATCCTTGACCTCTAAATCATATTTTTTTCCAACTAACCTCTAAAAAGTAAAAATTCTAGAATTCGTTGGTCAATTTATGTGCTATTGAGTGTGACCTAAGGTTTTGGTAGTTGCTAATAAAACCTTAAACAAGAGGTTGACAAATTGGATGAAATGGTCAGATGGCCATATGCACCTTGTGTATAGTGTACATGCAGCTTAAACAAGAGGCTTAGAGGATTTTTTAGTCCAGTTGATGATTTTCTAACACTGTAACACCTGGTTTCCAAAATTGTGTTTCCATTTCTGATGTTAGACCTCGATTTTGCACTTCCTATTGTTACTGATTCTAGAGTTTAATGAACAAATCATGCTTTTTTGTTTTGTTGTTTAGGTAGGTAATAAAGAGTCTAAATGTATTAATCATACAAGTATGGTAGGAGAAGAGAATCCCTCATGTAAAAGGGCTTATTGGTTATCCATACCAATTCATGTACACACCATCTGTGTTAACAAAAATAATGCCATTGGAGTTACTACTTTGCTTCACTCAAAACAACTGACTCCTAACATCTTTTGCCATAAATTTCTTTATCTCGATCTCAGGCTTGAGTTCATAAACTAATGAATTATATTTAAGCCTTCCATTTGGTTAACAACCTTATGGTTTTGCTTATGACTGAGGGTATGGTTCAATCAATTTTTACCTTTACTGAAATTATGGTTTGGAATTTCTTCTTGTCTTAAGTAAACTAAAGCATAGGTGGTTGAGTTGAAACTTGAAACTATTCAAATCCTACAAACTGCCTGAAAGTTTCATATTTGTGAACTTCTTGCATAGGATGGGTCCTTCTGATTTGGATCAATTTAATCATGGTTGATTCAAACAGAAATTGAATGACCTTAAGACCTGTTATTTGAAATTATTTGGAAAGATATAGTCATGATTATCTTTTTGATGTATTGAAGCACCGATTATCTTTTTGGTGAGCTGAGTTTGAATAAATTGGTATTTGGCTCGTCTCAACTCAAATCCAACCCTAGCTAACTCTAATTAACTCTAATGGAAAAGAATTACGCTAAACTAGGTTCTAACTAGGTAGACCGCCTCCTACCCATAACCTCCCATCTCTATTATTAGTGAGGCTTGAACCCAAGTCTCCACTACAACCTGCTAAAGACCTTATCAGTAAATCCAATTGGCTCCGTTTTAAGGATGCGGCTGTCAGATTGAATAAACAGTGTGAACCCTAATGTATCTATCACTAAACGAGATCACTTGGAAGCAAAAACAATGCTAATACTTTGAGAACACGGGCATCCGACTGAACTTGAAAAACTTTCCTATGAATTTAACATATATATGAGAAATTTGGATTGAGCATGGGTTGGTTGAATTCGGTTACTTACCTGTAGAGTAGAGGTCAGTTCAAGATTTTTGGAACTGAAACCTAGCCTATTAAAAACAATTTCAAGGTCTACCTGTAAAACCTATTATATATAGTCATTTCCATCCGGTTCATGACTGAAGCGCGGTAGGATTGATCGGTGAACTCGGTGTCACCTGGTCTGGCATAGGACTTGCACAACTGAGTCTGTGGTGGAGCCCATACACCACGAGGTTTCCTTTGTGCCGTGGTGCTTGTTGCTCCAGTTTTGTCTGCCGACATCAAATATAATTCATTGCAAAAGCTAGAATCTTTTAGCAACGAATTGGAATTTGCTTTGTTAAGACGATAATAATTCTTCAGCTGAATTGAACATATACAATGGAGGTCTAGAAAGATTGAAAAGCACATAACAAACGCAATAATCCATTTACGCTGGAAGGCATATCCACTGAAATTGGACAGATTGAATTTATGCCACTGAAGAATAGTTTGGACATTGGGCTGCTCAGATTCTAAGTCACATCAATTGAATTAAGTCCACCTTGATTATATATTGTGGGACACAATGCCATAATATTGTGTTTTGGGGCACTTGAGTACCTGTAGATAATGATGCAGTAGGACTACCCTTCAACTCGTTATTTATCCAATATACACTGTTTCAATCTCCATGAAATTCCAATTTGCTTCTTAACACATGAGATCACAAGGAGTGAGTCCCCTTCCATACTGATGACATGATTCCTGACATTATGAATTTCTTACATAGCCCAAGCTTCAGCAACACTAATCAAATTCAAGCCTATGGAATAAAGGACAACCCCAAAATGGTTTCTGGCAATGCAAACAATCGAACATAAATCATTATCATTCTGTGAAGTATCAAAATTCATCTTAATAGCACCCTCTCTTGAGCTATTTCAACAGCAAATTTTCTTGTTATTAAGATTTGAGTTTGGATCACCGCATGATTTTTTCTTTGATGCTCGCTCTATGATAGTGGAAGGGGGGAGACACCGAAGAATGAAACTGCTCTTTTCCCGAGCCCCTGGGCCTGCCAAATTATTTCCTCTATCCAAATTATTCCACCATTCCAAAACTGACAAATCTTTTCAACTAAACTTGCTTAGCCAAAGAATTATAATTATTATTATTATTATTATTATTATTATTATTTTTTGATAAAAATGGAAATGCTACAAAAGAACACTTCTAGACTGTGTTTGATTTGAAGGAAAAAATAGGGAAAAGAAGAGAAACCTTTACTTTACAAACCTTATATAGGTTTCCCAACATTTTTCTTTCTTTCCCTACCTTTTCCTTCAAGTCAAGCATAATCTTAAAGAAGAATGATGCCTGGTAAATGCATCGAAGAAGCATACATACAACAACTTAAAATCTAATAGATTGGATCCCGAAAAATTTAACTCATGCCCCAAATTAGGCAACCTGTCCGCTGCAAAGTTTAATTGCTTCCCTGAATTGAAGTCATGCACGTAGGAGACATCGGTTTTGTAACACTGGCGCAACGCTAGACTAGACAATCTTGGATGATAGAGCTGACCATATATCCACGGGCCGGATATCAATCCTACCACAAAGACTATTTATAATAATGTTTGGAATCACCTTCGATTATGATCTTCAAGCCCAGAAACCTCTCCCCGATTCTGTGAGTTTCAAGAGCACCCCACGCCTCAACTTCATTTATCAAATATTCCCCTATGTCCTTGCAACATACCCAAAGAGATTTCCCCTCATCATCATAATTTTCAAAACCGGACCGGAYTGGAAAACCGGTAATTGTTCAGCCCTCCGGGTCCGATTATACTGTAAACCACTAAATCCTAAATAACTGTTGAAAATRTCAGAAAAYCRCTGATCCGGGTGGTCAAACCGCTAAACTGTTCGAYTCGGGCAGCRGTTTGCGGGTTAYGAATTTCATTTTCGTTGATTTAAAAAAATAATAAAAACAAAAARAAAAMC